ACCAATAACGTTATAAATATAACTCAGCCATTTTGGACTAGGAGCTATTTATTAAAGCTATACTAAATACTTTTTTTAGGCATCGATTTTTGATAATTTTTTTTTTCAACTCTGAAACTGTGAATTTCGATAAAAAATTGAATTGGTAAAATATACAGCATTATTGCGTAAATTAATCGCCACAAAATGAAATGATGCAATTATTATCGATAGGTGTTTGATTGTAAACAAATGTTATTTAATGTTAACCTACTTTAATAAATTATGTATCGATTGGTGCATGCATAGTTTACCGCATACATATGGATAATTGATTATAAATACTAGTAGGTGGCCGCGATTTCGTTTGAGAAAAGTTTTGAGAAGATTAGTAAGTAAAAGGCAAAAGGCAGAATGGACCGACTATATGATTGCGGTCAACGCTCTGTACCTAAACGGATATGTTTAAAGTAACAAATTTATTAGAATATTTGATCCTTGTGTGGGATAAATGCGAAATCTGGGATAATACAAGTATAAACCAATACACAAAATAATATATCCGTGTGGGGTTGACCATGTTATAAACTACAACACTACAATATGTTGGAACCCCCTTTATGTCCTAATCCATTTTGGAAGATTACGGAACTCTTCCCTGATGCTACACTTAGATTTTTGACCGGGGGCATTTGCCCAATATTTACGCTCACCGTCATGTTGTTATACAGTTTCACACGAAAGTTGTTGTCCATTTTAGTCCAAAGTCAGGAAAATTTTATTTTTTTTTTGTTTCATTTGAACCCCTAATGTACATCTTCAAAAACAATAGGCTTGGGTCAGAACCCTAACCCTGCACCCATGCACAATTTCGTGTGGATCGGACGATAGTTGCGATATGTACTGGGTGAGATGAAAAATCTGCAACCAACTTCAGACTGCTGTCATTTCTAAGCCACTCTGCCGACAGCTGCTAAAATTATTCCAGTGACAGCTCATTAAAAAAATTTCCAGCAAAAAATGTTATTCGTGATGGAATTCAAGCGTGATAGTGTGATATCTTTATGTTTGGCTGGAAAACCACAAGTGGCTATCGTTAGAGCACTCCAGCATTTAAATGTGAATAAATATTTTGTGTCTCGTACCATAGATCTTTACCGTTTTACTGGTAGCGTAGCCCGACGTCAAGGAAGTGGACGGAAGAAAACAGCAACATCAGCGGAAATGGTTCGAAAAGTAAAGAAGCGACTTGAACGAAACCCGCTTCGCGGTGGCCGAAAAATGGCTAGTGAACTGAACATATCGCATTATTCCATTCGCAAATATTGAAAAATGAGCTCGGGGTAAAGCCATTGAAATTCCAAAAGTACAAGAACTTACACCGCAACAGAAAGAAAATAGACTCAAAAAAGCTAAAGAGTTGCTTCGCTTGGCCAAAAGTGGTGAACTGCCGAATTTGATTTTCTCTGATGAGAAAACATTCGTTGTCCAGCAGTTTGTAAACAAACAAAATGATCGTGTTTATTTGCCAAAGAGGTCAGCTAATAATATGTACATTGTCACCAGAACTCAAGCGCCGACCATGGTGATGGTGTGGGCCGCCATAACAATTGTGGCATCAGAATAAATGTGGAATATTATCGCGAAAATATTCTGGAGGGTGTATTAAAGCCTTGGGCACGCTAACATTTTGGCCGCAGACCTTGGACATTCCGACAGGACTCAGTACCATCGCACTCAGAACGCGGCATCCAAGAATGGTTACAAAATGAGGTTTCTCGCTTCATTTCTAGGGCACAATTGCCACCAAAATCACGGGATACCAATCCGTTGGACTATTGTGTCTGGAGTATTTTGGAAAGCAAGGTTGGCACTAAAAAAAAACAAAGTGTCGAGCAAGCGCTTCGCCGGGAATGGGCCAAAATGCCACATTTTCAAAAAAAAAAATCTTTAAAAAATTCTTTTAAAATTTTAAATGTATGGCCGTTATTTTGGGGTCTATATGACGTGGACTTACTTAGGCGTTGTTTGTCATAAGCCACTACCATATTGAAATTTGAAAACTAGAAATAAACGGTGAATTATATAGCTAAAATCATCATAATATCGTATATAGGGAGGTACCGTTATATCGGAGCTGTGCGAAGACCTGGACCAGCATAGACAATTTTCTGTCTTAGGCTGTAGCATCCATTAAGAACTTGAAATACGACATCTCAAACAATTTCGGTGGGTATTGTACCTTAACTCGTCAAAATACCGAATATAGAGAGGTACTGATATATGGGGTCTATACGAAGCCCTGGACTTGCATACACAATTTTCTGTCACAGACTGTAGTTCCCATTACGAACTCTAAATACGTAATTTGAAACTACTCCTGTGAATAATGTCGCTATAATCATCAAAATATCGAATATAGAGAGGTACCGTTATAAGGAAGCTATACGAAGACATGGACGTGTACAGATAATTTTATGTCTTAGGCTGTAGTATCCATTATAAACTTCAAATACCAAATTTGAAACAATTCCAGTGAATAATGTCGCTAAAATTATCAAAATATCGGGAGGTACCGTTATATGGGGGCTATATGAAAACGTGGACCTGCATGGCCCATTTACGAACTTAACCTGCCTACTGGAAAAATAAACTTGTGATCAAAATTGTAGCCTTCTATCTCAATTCGTTCGAAAGATAGCGTGATTACAACAGACAGACAGACGGACATCGCTATATCGACTTAGAATTTTACGCTGATCAAGAATATAAATACTTTGTTGGGTCATGAGTATTTTGAGGAGTTACAAACGGAATGACAAAGTTAATATACCCTCCATAGAATGGTGGAGGGTATAAAAATGTAAAAATTATGTCTTCTGACTTTGTTGCAATTTTTATACCCTCCACCATACCATGGAGGGTATATTAATTTTGTCATTCCGTTTGTAACTCCTCGAAATACTCATGTCAGAACAAATGATCAGCGCAAAATTCTAAGACGATTTAGTCATGTCCGTCTGTCTGTCTGTGTGTCTTTCTGTCTGTCCGTCTGTCTGTCTGTTGTAATCACGCTATCTTTCGAACAAATTGAGATAGAAGGCTAAAATTTTGCACACCTGTATATTTTGCTAGTAGGCAGGTTAAGTTCGTAAATGGGCCATGTAGGTCCAAGTTATCATATAGCCCCCATATAACGGTACCCGATATTTGGTATTTTGATGATTTTAGCGTCATTATTCAGCGGAATTGTTTCAAATTTGGCATTAGAAGTTCGAAATGGATACTACAGCCTAAGACAGAAAATAATCTGTGCAGGTCCACGTCTTCGTATAGCCCCCCATATAACGGTACACCCCGATATTTGGTATTTTTATGATTTTAGGGACATTATTTACCGGAATCGTTTCAAATTTGGTATTTGAAGTTCGTAATGGATACTACATCCTAAGTCAAAATTAGCCATGTAGGTCCACGTCTTCGTATATATATATATATATATATATTCGGTATTTTAACGATTTAAGCTACATTTAAAAGAGAATTTTCTTCAAGTTTCGCAATTAAATTTTGTAATAACTTATGACAAAAGTTGCCTATGCAGGTCCACGTCGTCGTATAGGCATTCAGTATTTTAAGATTTTAACAGAATTTTTAATGGATTTTATTTTCTTTTTTTTGGAAATTGCCAAATTTGTACCAAGTGGTGGAGGGTATTATAAGTTCGGCCTGCCGAACTTACAGCTTTTTTACTTGTTTATCTTACCCTGTATATCTGTTGCCAAAATCGACTGATACTTTTAAGCTTGTTAAAACTATTTTGCAATGTCTTGGACATTAGAATAGCATTTTAAAAGGGATGTTGACAAGAAATGTCCTTATTTAAGAATCATGGATCTTTTAAAAGTGTGTTCCAAATTAAAATTAAGAAAATCGTGGGGGTTTTAAAAATACTGTTAAGCTTTGCTGGTCTGAAATTGTGTATTTTTCTAGGATTTTCTAACAAAAAATATTGTTTTCTAGGAATCTTTATATAATTATAATTATATCTTGATATATTGATTATCATATATTACATTAAATTAATTCGATTCGTTAATTAATTTACATTTTTACCTTGTAAAAATTGTATTGAAAGTGAAAACAAGTGAAAATACGAAATTTCTTAAAACAAACAAATAATGAAGATTACTTTTTTGATGTACGTGAAGTTATTTGAAAGTTGGACGTGCTTGGCAATCGATTATTTGGAGAAATTCAATTGCGGCAATAAAGACAAATGCGTTAATGTGGTAACTATTTAGGTAATCTTAACTATTAGTAGTTTTTGGACGGACACATACATAAGGAGGGGTAATTCCGAAAAGGGAAAACATATGGGGAAAGGTTTGGTATGGGGGAGGCTATTGAGAAATGCAATAAAAAATGTTTGAAATTTTGAATTCGAAATAATGGAATAGAGAGAGGCACAAAATTGTTAAAAAAAGGTCATAAACTTAAAATGAGTATTTCATCAGCTCCAAATTAATTCACATTTTGTATTTAATAAAATAATTCTTCAATTTCTCAAAATTTTATTTATGCAATTCTTTAAATCATCATCTTTTTTTCTCCAAAATTATTTCACTAAAGGACAAAATTATGACTGTAACCAATATTTTATAGCCTCATCATCATTTTGTGTGACAAAGAGTTTTCTTAGATTTATCATTCATGTTATCCCTTAAGCCTTATTATCAATTCTTTTTTCTACTCCCTTTGGCATTACATCAAGGGATTATTTAAATTTTCTGCTACGTCTGGCGTTAATTATAAGAAAATATTTTCTTACCAAATATGCCATAAAATACTTTACGAGTTTTCATGTTAATTACCCTTATAAGATTTTTCCCTTATTCGCCACCCAACATCCCCCTCTCGCAAGCAATTGCATTCCGATTAAATATCAGAATATTTTCAAAGAAGTGGAAAAAGCCAACACCTTGAGATTCTTCTTTGAAAAAGGAAAAATGAGGTACACGTTATTTATATTTTTAAATATTTTTTTCTTATTTTTCATTTGTTTTCATTTTTTTTTTCATATTACAAAATAAATAAATAAATTAATTAAAGCGAACAAATAAATAAATATTTTATATAAAAATAAATAAGGTAGTAGCAATCAACTAAAATTTAAAGAAAGGTCGTCTCCAGCAAAGACAAACTGTTGCTGGGCTTTACAAGAATTACAAAAAATGTCCATTTCATTTATAAAAATAATCTATAAATGAAAAATTCTTTGGAATTAATGATGCTGTAAATGTGAACTGACATGATGATGGGGTGCTGGTGCTGGTGGTGTAAGCCAGCAATAAACCGGAAACAGGAAAATTGACATAACCAGCCTGTGTGAATGGAAGGAGAAAGGCTTAACACAAATCAATCATTATTAACAATTTGTGCCTTCTTCCAACAAAAAACAAAAAGCTGTAGACCTTTTTCAAGGGCTCTTTGTTGTGTTTCAGTTTACACATTTCAGCATTCGCGTTGTCGTTGTTAGACTTTTTTGTTCTTGTCTTTCTTTTTATCTTCTTCTTTGTAACAAAAATGTGTTTGTTTTTCAGAGTTGTTCCTTCGAGGTTCCATGTGGAGGGTCTGGGGTTTGTTTTTGGGTAAGGATTGAGGCGTTTTTTTTTTGGTTGTTGCAATGTTCTTGTCCCTACAATAGCTTAGTTGTAAGCATTATAGGCCAAGGTTTGGGCAGCGGGGTTTGTTTCATATTGCTCTACACTAGAAATAGAACTGACCGAACGACCATCCCAAGGACCGTGAGCGGTGATGTGGGCTGAATGATGTTCAGAGGCGATCTAGAAAAGATGGGACAGAAAATAAATGAAATGTAATTAATTTTAAAGGCGTTAAATATGGCATAATTAAAATTGTGTTATTTTGAGGGATCATATCGAAATTTTAAGATTCAGAGGAATTTGATGTTTCAAAATGGGCTTTTAAGAATGAGGAATTTCCTTTTAAGCCAATTTGCTGTTGTAAACGAATGATGTGAGGTCGGAAGAAACTAAGCTATTATAAATGTTGATAGAAAAGGCCTTTATTGTTCTCGTTATGAAATATATTAATTTTAAAAATGTGCAATTCGTTTACCTCTTTTCAAGATTTTTATAATTTGACTACATTTGTATTTTGAAATGCCGATGCAACATTATCATATGTTGAACAACATATATAAAAATAAATTAGATGACGACTTTTAATTTGAGAAAATGCCATGTGATGGGTTCACCTTTTTCATTTATTAAATAGTTTACAATTAATTAAAATACCAAAAAAAAAAAATGTGTCAGAAAATTTGCTATACTGATTTTGTTCATACTTAGGTAGGCACAAATATCATTAGCTTTTGGAGCAACATTTGAAAATGATAAAATGTTGAAGCAACATTTTCAAATGATAAAATGTTGAAGCAACATTTGAAAATGATAAAAGAATAAAGCAATATTTGAAAACGATAAAATAATAAAGCAACATTTGAAAATGATTAAATGTTGAAGCAACATTTGAAAATGATAAAATGTTGAAGCAACATTTTCAAATAATATATATACTATTTGAAGTTGATTTAATGTTGATGTTACATCTCAGAGGCGTTGGCAACATTTTCAATTGGTTAATCATCATTTTGCAGTATAGTCCCCTTCTTTTCAGACATTTAATAAAACCCCAGAAAAAGGAATCAGGAACATTGTTCTCTAAACTGTCAGTATTACAACTTTTGCAATGAGCTTTTCTTATCAAGAGTATATTTTGTAAGCAACATTTACAAGTGGTGAAAAAACATGATGGAATGTTGAAGCAACATATTTAGATGTTAATGCGTCTTTTTTGCTCAAGGAATAAAAACCATTTGCCATTTTCTCTAAGAAAAGAGAACAGTGTTTTGGCCATCGTAATTGCCAGTTTCATACCATGCTTGCTTAATCCTTTTAAGGCAATATTTACAAAAGTTGAGGAAAACAGTGATATGTTGAAACAACATTTTTAGATGTTAATGTGTCTTTGCTGTTCAAAAATTGAATGACGTGAAAACGATTTTATTTTTTAAAAAGGGCCTAGGACCTCGTGTCTCAAAATTGTAAGCCAAATTTTAAAAAGTGTATTCATTTAAGCCAACAATTGCAAAGTTTGCGTAAGTAAGATGGAATGTTGAAGAAACATTTTCAGATGTAAATTCAACTCTGCTTAGACATTAAATGCAGTGAATTTCTTTAAGGAAAGGGTACAGAATTTTGGTTCTAAAAATTGTCATAATAATTTTGTCTGATCGAAAATGATTTCTTTTAATGCAACATTTTCAAATGTTGTGGAAAAAGGTGAAATGTTGAGACAACATTTATTCATCATTTATCGTAACGCATTTTTATGCTAACAAATTGAATGAAGTGTTAGCGTTGTATCTGTTAAGTTTTAAAATATTCTGAATAAATTTAAGATTATTTCAATTTATTTTAATCTCAGAATGCATTTCCAAATTTTGAAGCAACGTATTTAAACGTTTCAGAAGCAAATTTGATCAAAGTTTTTCCATTTACATGTTATTGAATTCTGATAAATTGTGGTATGGTATATTCTTAATTTGAGATTATTTGAGGATTTTTTAAACTCAGAATGCATTTCGAAATATTGAGGCAACATACTTAAATGTTTCAGCAACATATTTGTGGCCAATTTTTGCATTTTTTTCTGATTTTTTTTTATGTTAATATCGCGGAAAATTATGAATAGAAAGAATAATATTTTTTTACGGCAATATTTGGTTGCTTCTAATGTTGAGCAACATTATTAATGTATCGTCAACATTCTGAATCTTTTGTCAACATTTTTAAAGTCTCGACAAAATTTTCTCTAATTTAATGATTAATGTTTAGATACATTTTGTAATGTTGAGGCACATTTCTGAATATTGAAGCAACATTTTAACACAACTTACTTTAAAGTCAATTTTATAACTCTAATTCTTTAGCCTCTGCCTCCCGTTAAAAGTGCAAATCATTGAGGCGATTTTTTTCAATCAGGAGATAGTTTGATAGATTTTTAGATACAGTTGGCAATGTTGAGGTACATTTCTGAACTTTGAGTCAACATTTGTTAAATGTTGAGACAATAAATTTCAACACAACTTTCTATAAAGAAAATTTGATATCCTTCTTGTAGTGGACGCCAACATTGAAAATTTTAGATTTTCTTAATTCTCGACAACATTTTTAATGCTTCGTCAACATTCTGTGTCACGTTAGAACTTTTCAATGAAACTTGAATTACATAGCTTTTCCGTCTTTTCAAATGGTCTTCCGAATTTTCCCGTTAAAAACTTTTGAAGATGACCGGCACATAGATTTTATGTTTCATTTCTTTTTCCACACTTATGGGCTTTCGTTTTTTTCTGATTTAAAATTTCGATATGAACCGCCTTCGAATGGTTATGTTACGTTAGTAATGACCATGTTTTTGTTTTTTGTTTCGTGTTTTAGGAAATATGGCTTTGTTATGTAAGATATAAAATACAAGGCAAGAGGGAAAATGAGAGCCGAAATTCAATTGGGTTGAATGTTTTAGAGTGTCAAGAGTTCTTGATTGGTAGGTTGACTGGTTGGTTGATTGGTTGAATGAATGAGGCACGTGTAAGATGACGTCATAAGTAATTATATTATTACCTATTTATGTCTTTGGTTTACTACGTTTTTTGGGAAAATTTTTCAAAAGAGGAATTTTCGGTTCAGAAAAAATCCCTCCTTTGTCGTATACACTTTTCTGCTTAATAATAACACTTGTTTATTTTTTACTCTCTTTATCTCACTCTTCATTATGGCCTTTGAATTTCGGCTCTCTTTACTTTCCCCACTCACCAAGATTTAACAACTCACAAAAGCCTAGAATAGAAAACAGAAAACTTTCTTAAGTAAAATGCTGGTTGGAACTTACCTTTTTGCACACTTGGAATATGGCCAAACCAACCGAGACAATGAATGAGAAGAAGCCCAAGCCCAAAGCGTTCAAGGCCTTGATTTTCAAAATACCAATGGCCATGGGGATAATGGTGATGGCCTTCAACAAGATCAGGACAATGATGGGCATGGCCATTTTGCGCAAACGATGTTTCTTGCCTATGCGGAGCAACAAAGAACGAGAATGGAAAGAAAATCAATGGTAGAAGTTAATCGATTAGAGTTCAATTCATGCAGAAACACAAACAGCATGCAACACACCCTTCTTGAAAATGCTTCCTTTCTTACCCTTGCCTTCGACGACACCGTCACCAGAGAATTTGACTTTCAGACTTAGTTCGTCATCGGCCAAATTGCGTGAGGAGACAGTGACTTTGGCATCAGCCATAGGCAAGTCCATGGTAACGTCGTGACCCTTCAGATAGCTTTCGACGGCATCGAAGAAACTGTGGCTGGAGGAACGGCCCTCAGTGGCGGGAGCTTGATAACCATTGGGTGTGACTTCGACATCGTTGATCTGCAAGCAAGATATCGTGTATTTGCAAATGATTTTGCTTCAGTTTTTCATTTTCATTTGAGATCCAACTCACCTTGAAAGCATCTTTATTCATAACAGTGTCCACAAAACGCATAGCCCTCACTTTGACACAGGCCATACTATCACTGCCGCTTTCACATTTGGCATTCTCATCATCGATCATGCTCTGCATGTTGACGGCATGACAGCCAATGGCCGAAAGGCCCAATAAAACCACAAGGATCATATATTTCGAGGAAATCATTTTTGCTCTGTTGTCCCAGCTATCCGTCAGCTACTCTACTACTTCTCAAACTTGAAACACCTGAGCTGTGGTCAGTGTGAAATGACAATTGCAAATAATAATTAAATTTCTATTGTCGACGTTTTTTATACTAAACATTAAGCAGACTCGAAATAACAGCCAGCCACTGACCGAAAACGCAACAAAAAATCAATCGATTTCTGGCTCTCACAGCGAAATTCACTGTCAATGGTGGATGTAGACAAAACTACAATGTAATGCTGCCGGTGTTTTGGCCAATTGAAATGACAGACATGGCCCTGCATTAACAGTGGACGGACGTTCATTCGTTCAGTTAACCGGTCAGCCAGCTAGCCACAAGCACCTGTAACAGCAACAACTTTAGGGATCATGGCTGAGAGACAAGCATGGCTGCTTATTGTGAACTACAACGCTTGGGCATGGGGTTGGCCAAAACCAAACACGATTTTCTCATTTCCAAAGAGAGCCAGTACAGTATTATAGACTTGTTGTTCACTTGTGGGCCACTTAGACGTATACTTAATATCTTGTAAGCTGGTATTATGCCATTGCTGCTTCCTCCTACTCTGCTCGGTGTTTGTGTGGAGTGTGCGTTTTCTCATAAAATTCATTCATGACTTTTTGCTGGCATTTCATTTGGGAAGCTTCGCACGTTTTTTGGCTGTCGTTGATGTGCACAAAAGAAATGTTTGATTTTTATTCAATAAAAATCGTATTTGTCGATTTACCATTGTCTGGCTTATTTGTTATTGTGCATTTGTTGTGCTTTGGCCATTTTATGACCCCACAAAAGTGGTCTAATGTCTGTAATTTTTATTTGATAATTGTAAGGCGATTAAAACTATAATACCATATTTCATTTTAATTCCATTTTCACCAAAATGAACTTTGAACCTATTGTTGTCTGGCCATTATCAAAAAGGAAACTTTTGTGAATTTCATTGGAATTATATAGAAAACAAGGAATACAACATTACTCTACTTTGATATATGTATGTATAAATAACTTTTATGGTTTGGATGCGTATTTTCCTAGAACATTTAGGCATATTCCCGGAACCTTGAACAATTCATTTTGATATATTCGGCTGCAGCATTTGCTGTTTAAACTTTATATGGCTTCTGTAGGAAAATCCTCTTAACATAAGCTGCAATAGAAAAAAAAATGTAGAAAAATAAATATGTGTAATATATCAACGAAGTTTGTTGAACAGGTGTAGAAATAATTTGGATGGAGAACTTTAATATTTGACCTAAACCATAAGTATTGAATCCTTGATGTGGGCTTTGGGGTTACACCTTGAGAGTTTTGAGGCTTTAAACTAGTTTTTAACAGTTTTCAGCGCAAACCAATAAAAAAAGTTTTAACTCGTATGTACTAATTAATTTCTTACATAGCGATGTGATACCTTTGGACAAAGAGTAGGCCAATATTTCCCATTTCCAAACTCTAAAGTCCATAAAAATATTACGATGTATCAAATTTTGACAAAATCACACACTCCCCTCGAGAATTGCGGTGAACACCAGACTGGCAGACAAACAAGCCGATGATCTGGTCTTGATTAGATAACCTAATAAATCCTTAAACTGTACTGTCCAGAGACGCAATGAGACTGAGATAACCAATGAACTATCCACAAAAAATATCAAAAATGAAAGGCATAAGTTAATTTCACCTTTACACTTGTTATACCCTCCACCATACTATGGAGGGTATATTAACTTTGTCATTCCGTTTGTAACTCCTCGAAATACTCATGTCAGACCCAACAAAGTATATATATTCTTGATCAGCGTAAAATTCTAAGTCGATTTAGCCATGTCCGTCTGTCTTTCTGTTGTAATCATGCTATCTTTCGAACGAATTGAGATAGAAGGCTAAAATTTGGCACACATGTTTATTTTTCCAGTAGGCAGGTTAAGTTCGTAAATGCGCCATGTAGGTCCAGGTCTTCGTAGAGCCCCCACATAACGGTACCTCCCGATATTCGGAATTTTGATGATTTTAGCGACACTATTCACCGGAATTGTTTCAAATTTGGAATTTGAAGTTCGAAATGGATACTACAGCCTAAGACAGAACATTATCTGGGCAGGCCCACGTCTTCGTATAGCCCCCATATAACGATGCCTCCCGACATTCGGTATTGTGATGATTTTAGCGACATTATTCACCGGAATTGTTTTATGTGGTATTTGAAGTTCGTAATGAATACTACAACATAACAGAAAATTGTCGGTGCAGGTCCACGTCTTCGTATAGCCCCCATATAACGGTACCTCCCAAAATTCGTTATTTTGATGATTTTAGCGTCATTATTCATCGGAATTGTTTCAAATTACGTATTTGGAGTTCGTAATGGGAACTACAGTCTGTGACAGAAAATTGTCTGAGCAGGTCAAGGTTTTCGTATATGCCCCATATATCAGTACCTCCCTTTATTCGGTATTTTGACGAGTTTAGGTACAATGACTACCGAAATTATTTGAGATGTCGTGTTTGAACTTCGTAATGGACAGAAAAATATCTACGCTGGTCCAGGTCTTCGCACAGCTCCGATATAACGGTACTTCCCTATAAACGATGTTTTGATGATTTTAGCTACATTATTCACCGTTTATTTCAAGTTTTCGAATTTGAATATGGTAATGGCTTATGACAAACAATGCCTATGTAGGTCCACGTCTTATAGACTCCAATAAAACATCTATATTCGGTATTTTTAAAATTTAAGCAGAATTTTTTTAGGATTTGATTTTTTGAAAATTTCCAAATTCGTTCCAAATGGTGGAGGGTATTAAAAGTTCGGCCCATCCGAACTTGCTGCTTTCTAACTTGTTTTTTTTTTATTAAAAACAAGTAAGGAATATTCAAAAGTCGGTTGAGGCCGACTATTTTATGTTCTACAGTATTTGAACAATAAACCTGATATCGGATTAATTATATATATGGGAGCTATATAAAAATCTTAGCCGATCTTTATAAGATTTTCAAAGGTATTTCCGAGCTCTATAAGATACCAAACATCATTCTCTTGGGGTGCATATTACGAATGTGAGGAACTTAAACAACAAATCGGATGAAACCAATATATGGGAGCTATAGCTATATCTGAACCCATTTTCACCAAATTTGACGTATGTGTCAAATTCTATCCCATTTAGACTAATATTACACGCTTGGCGCACAATAAAAGGCAAATCGGACGAAGATACAGGGTCCGTCTTTGGGCCAAAAAAAATGACTTGTTCAAAATTTTATCTTGATCGGGCAACAAATGTGACCTGTACTTTGTTTACAAAAATACGTGGAAAGACGGACGAATGAATGGACGAATGAATGGACGGAGAATGTGATTCTATGCAGATCATCAAAAGGAACTATGCGTCTATATCGTTTTCTTTTGCCTGTTACAAACAAAAGCACAAAGACATAATACCTTAACCACCTTGTGGTGTAGGGTATAAAAATGCATACAAACGCCGCGCAATAAACATCCTATTACGTTTTGGTATATCGATCTTTATATTTTCACGAGATAAAAATTCCACCCCAAAAATGGGTTAATCTATTACTTTTATTGCAAGATTGCCGACTGCAATTGTTTTTCATCGTAGCTTATTTACCTCAAAAAGAGTGAAACTGGAATAAGTAGCGTCTGCGATTTGAAATCTATGATGTAGACTTATATAGTCTGAAATCAACAAATTAACTAGTGTATTGAACTTTTTCATTTTATGTTTTCGAAAATAATATACCCTTATACTAAATGATATTTGAAGAAAATGTGATTTGCGGAAAATTAGAGCACAGGGTAGTGTGTTGGTGTAGAGTGTATCACAGGTTAGCCTAAACGACTGTCGTTGCTTAATATTTGTAAAAACAATATTTTTTTTTTAATTTGTTCCATATATACACTTTCGATACAGCTACAACGTAGGCCAAAATCCCAAAAAATCGTCCTCTCACAGAAAATAATCTATCATTACATTTTTAATAAAAGATATAGCCAAACATTAAAAATTTTTAAAATTGATTTTTATATTCCACAACATTTTGACCCACGCTGTTATATATAAATTGTCCCTTCTAGCCGAGCTGGGTCGATCAAGCATTCTATGTTCATATATAAGTGCGTCCGAGTTTGGAGTTAAAGTTAAGGTCAGAATACAAGCCTATTGCTGGGTTAGACTATCGCAAAATAACATAGTGATGAAATGGACCAAAAACAGCTTTTTTGATGATTTTGCACTCGCTTTATAGATCACAATTAGAGTCCGATCGGAACGTAATTTTATATGGGGTGTAGAACAGAGCAGAAGCCTACTGTTTTGGATGGTCGTTGGATAGTATTTGACTAAATTTTAATTTATGTGTGAAAACAAGTAAAATAGCAGCTAAGTTCGGTCAGTCCGATCTTTTAATACTCTCAACCATTTTTAAGGAACATAAATAATTTCCAAAATATTCCATCGAAAAATACCGCTCAAAGGAAAATTGTTACATGGAGGCTATACGAAGACATAATCCCGCGTAATCAATTTTTTGTTATAGGCTGCAGTACCCATTATGAACTAATTAAATATGACATGTTTAACAATTCCGTTAAAAAATGTCATCAAAATGCCAAATAAAGACGGTGCCTTTATATGTGGGCTATATGAAGACGTGAACTTACATAGAGGTACCGATATATGGGCGCAATTTGTTGCCATAGGCTTAAAAAAATCATAAAAATACCGTATAATTAGGCGGGGGGTGTACCGGTGTATGAGGGATATACGATATCGTAGACCTATATAGACAATTCTTTTTCAGGGGGTAAATAACTCATAAAGAACTTTGTGTAGAAATTCAGACATTAGAAAAGCAGGTTAAATAATGAACATTGCAAATATCGGTGGTACCGTTATATGGAGGCTGTACGATATCGTGGATCGATATAATAACTAATGGCACATATGACTTTAAGCCAATTGTTCGAATGGTGCAATGTACCAATGTCAACAATGACCTTAATAGAAGGATTGATTTCATTATTTGTAACTCCTTAAAAACCAAACCTGATATTCAGAATGATATTTTAAGT